ACTTTCATATACTTAGGGGCCACTTTTCTTCATTAGCAGCTCAGGAGCACAACCAATAGTGCTGTGTTGCACAGCACTGCATCTGACCTGTACTTTAGGGTGGGCTTGGCCTGAGTTTGCTCTGCATGTCTCTTTCAGTTCCCCCAGCACACACAGAGCAATGCACCCATTTAGGTGGCCTGTGGCCAGATAAAATGGCTTTGCAGTTCGGGTCCAGTCCCTGGGCTGGCAAAAAGCCTTCTCTTCTGGACAGTCTGGCAGGCCTATGTCCTGTTGCTGCATGTGAGAAATGTGCTGATTCCCTCATCGCCAGCTTCCTTGTCTCAGAAAAGCATTCAGCAACCAGTCTTATCCCAGGGACGGCACTTTGATTTACTGTAATATGGGCCATTCATGATGTGCAAATGAAGTGCATTTGTCTGCCCATTTAGGAATAACTCATGTGATGTTTCCTTCCCTTTGAAAACCACAGGCTTCTTCCTCTGCCTTTTGTTGTGTGGGCTTGCAAATGTTGGCTGTGCTGATGCCAGATTCATCTTTTATTCCTATGGATTAGCAAAGCAGAGACACTGTCCCTTGTCATTATCTGCTGACAACATGTCAAGTGCAGCGTTGTGGTGTTTCATATTATAAAGCACAGAAGTACAAACCTGGCATTTGCTGTAAACAAAATTCAGCGTGGTCTTTGAAACAGACAGCAAACAGTTTTTTTTTCCTAAAATGAGCAGCACGGATGGGATTCCTTGTGTGTTATGCTGATCACAGACTCAGCAGTGTTGTCCTTCAGGCTATTGCTGGATTAAGAATTCCAGCTAGCAGAGACCCTGGTCGCTGCCCTGGCCCGTTCCCAGAGCTCTCTTTGCCAGCAGTAGTGTTGGGGCATCTGTGGGATAAACCTGCTCAGAAGCTCACCCAGAAGAAACAGAACCAGTGAAAACAAGGGTTATCCTTCAGCAAGGGTGGCTTTTGGGTTGCTGCACAGCCTCTGACGAGCTTTGCTGCTCCACTCATATTCTGAATCATAGTCTTTGATTCATAGTCCGGATCAAAGCTGCCACCCTTCCCTCTTCCACGTCCCCAACCACATGTGTCCTCCTGCCCTGTGGCAGACCAAGGCTTTTCAGATCCTGTGGTGAGCTGGCTGAGAAAGCCAGGTTGGCTGAAAAAAAGTTTTCTTTATAGGGTGAGCTCGCAACCAGCTATGCACCTGAGCTGGAGTCCCCACAGGTTGGACAATTACTGCTGCCCATGGCAGGGCTCGGACAGAAGCCTGTGGGGATGAGGGGTGAGGTATGAAGTGTTGGGGAGCTGTACCCTGAGGCCGTTTGTGGCAGTAGGTAAACCAGGGCATAGGCTCAGCACCACCTGCCGTTGTCCAAGCTGTTGAAGGGCTAGCACAGGCTGTCCAGCCTGCCCCAGCCAGCACCTTCCCTGGTGGGGGACTGGGGCTGGTGGGACTGGGACCATTTCCACTAGGCAGCGTGGGCCCCATCACCCTCTCCCAGAGGAAAGAGCACTTTATTTTCTTGTACAGATGTATACTTCTTATAAAGAGGAGCTGATCTTGAAAACATTTAGAGAAACATTCCCTCTAGGGTTTCATAGCACTGATATTCTTTATTTTCTTTTATTACAGTGTATATATATGTATTGTTTGTTGGCTGCTGCAGTGAGATACTTTATGTGCTATAAGCTGATGGAGTTGAGTGCAGATTTGTCCCAAAGCTCTTTTTTCCCACCTTTTAAGAGGAAGCTTAAAATAACTTTATTTCAAATTTATTTTCTTTTATAGGATCGACCTGCCTTGTCCCAGAGGCTGGTGGGGAAATCCCATCTGTGGCCCATGTAATTGTGAGACTAGTAAAGGGTTTGATTCTGATTGCAATAAGACCAATGGAGAATGCCGCTGCAAGGTAAGCAAAAGAAACCAGTCTTAAGTCAGAATGTCTTTAGTTTAAAAAGTAACTATACTACTGAGAACTACAACAAGTGAGTATCTGAGATGAAGTACACACAGTTGTGCTTTGTATCATGTATATGTGCGCAGTGTGGTTAATCTTTACCTAAAATATTTTGCTGGCACCGCCCTTCACAAAATCATACTGTGCAGCTCTTATCTTATTTGTGTTTGGAAAGCAAAACTGAGAGGATGAAAGCCTGGCTCTGATCTCTCTGAAGTACAACCTGGTTTATCGGGGGAGATCAGACCTGGGCGCAGAGGAGTGCCGGTGGTGGTTTTTGTATCACAAGTGAGTAATGAAACTGCTCGGGCCAGCTGGGTGAAGCTCTCCCCTGTGCAATGGCCAGCAAAAGGCCTAGCAGCTGGAGAGAGTTAATAATGCAAAAGGCTCAATGCTTTCCTCGCTGCTGGCTCTGTTGAGTTTAAGGGGAATTTGCTGTGGACAGGCAGGGGACACAGGAGGGGAGGCACCTCCCTCCTGAAGGTTTTACAAAGGACTTCTCACAATAGGCTTTAAAACAGTCTTGAATGACATCAGAGGAGCTGGGCCTGTGCAGACCGGCAGCCATGAATCTGGCCCCGTACTCCTTTCCGAAATGCCAGCAGGACACACAGCAACTGTTGCGTTAAATCGAGTCAGTGGGGTGCCAGCACCGTGCTCTTGTGTAATCGCATAACATCTCCAATCAAAAGCATTTACAGACGCGACTGGAATACGTGATCGTTGGTTGCTCTCCACCTTGTACGTGAAACACAAATGGACGGTGCAAGAAGGTTCCTTACTGGCTTGCTCATGCCGTACAAGTGGGGAACTGCAAAGCAGAGAAAACTGCATATCTTCCAAGAATACATTTGCCAGGCACTGGCAGCAAGTACATGAGGAGTAACACAGGCCCTCCACCCCCACTGCAAATGATGGTCCAAACCCCAGGTCTCTGCAGCACAGGGCAGCCCAGCCATCCCCCCGGCGCTCAGCTCTGCCTCCCCGCATCGCCTGGGCTAACGCAGCACACCTCCCACAGCTATTATGTTTTCTGTTAATAGTAATACATTTGCCAGGCTCTGGCAGCAAGTACATGAGGAGTAACACAGGCCCTCCACCCCCACTGCAAATGATGGTCCAAACCCCAGGTCTCTGCAGCACAGGGCAGCCCAGCCATCCCCCCGGCGCTCAGCTCTGCCTCCCCGCATCGCCTGGGCTAACGCAGCACACCTCCCACAGCTATTATGTTTTCTGTTAATAGTAATGTCATTATTATCCCATGCTTCGCTAAATTTGCCCTTTTATGATGCACATGCTTCTAGAGCAGGATTTCAGAAGCACAAGCAATTTGGAATATAAGTCAAATACCTCGTGTCTACTGTTTTGTTTTTTCTAGGCAAATTACTATAGGCCCCAGACCAGTGACAGCTGCTACCCCTGCGACTGCTTCCCGTCCGGCTCCCACACGCGCACCTGCGACATGGAGACGGGACAGTGTCCGTGCAAACCTGGTGTCATAGGGCGGCAGTGCAACCGCTGCGATAACCCGTTTGCTGAAGTTACTGTGAAGGGCTGTGAAGGTACCTCCTGTCCCACAAGCACTCTGATCAGCCGGGCTGTAGTGGTGGATCAGAGCTGCTAGTAGTGGGCAGATGGGGGGTGCACAGCGGTGGGCATGCAGCTGCATCCTGGAGTGCATGTGAGCCCGGGAGGGTGGCTCCAGCAGGGCAATGGGAGCTGCAGCAGCCTAAACATGCACCCCTCCTCCTAAGTCTGTGCCAATGTGACTCATGGGGGCTGGGCAGAAAGAAAAAAGCTCACATTTCTTTAATTTTCATCAAATGGAAATAAAGCAAGCTTAGCAGGGGAGAGGAAAACACTAATCCCAATTTTACTTGAAACGTGAGTTCATCTGCCAGCGCAGCATTATATTGCTGTGCTGCAGCTGAAGAGGTGGGTGAGAGCCTTCATGCCTTCTGCCCACAGAGGCTATGCCATGTGCCTGCTGCCCTCTGCCTTTCTTCCCCATCCTGCCCATCCTGCCTTTCCTCTCACCCACCCCCCCTCCTCCTGTGATCACCACAAAGCTGCTACAGCAGCCATCTTGCCATAGTGTGTGGGTGAAGTGAAGGAGGAACATTTTCCCACAATAAAGGAGCAGGCAGAGATAGGCAGAGCCAAAATCCAGAGCCCCATAATCATCCTTAGCTCTCCTCTGCCTGTACCTGTCTGCCCACACTGCTGGATAAGGAGCAGCTGAAGGGTTACAGCTTGGAAAGCACTACAGAGAGCAGGTATCCTTCCGGGGCTTGGGAATTACAGGAAGGTCCTTTAGGCAGGTTGAAATATCTCCGTGTTGTGATTTTTATCTTGTCAGAAAAATTGCATAATTTCTTTTTCTGCTTTCAGTAATCTATAATGGCTGTCCCAAAGCTTTTGAGGCTGGTATTTGGTGGCCACAGACCAAGTTTGGCCAGCCAGCTGCTGTGCCATGTCCTAAGGGATCAGTAGGTAAGTTCCCTGGGTAGAACATTAACTGTTTTATCTACATGCCTGTTTGAGGGGGGAGAAATGAGCGAAAAAATGTGTACGGAGGGAATGGCGTTAATTCATTGAGCCTGGATTACAGCATAGCTCATGCATGTCACAAGCAGGAAAGTTTAGCTGGCTGAAGCTCAAGATCTGTTAAAATACATCTGGAATAGTCGCAAAAAATAAATACAAAAGTGCTGCAGATAAACACATATAAAGAACAGAAATTCTGTATCTGTATTTCAAAGAAGCACAGTCCAATTTTCTCTTGACTCTATCAAGCACTTCTTAGGCATGTAACTTGTAGTTTCTAGTGACTTATAATGTGATCTTTAGTGATACAGCTCCTCTGGGCAAGGATAAAATGAGGAAAACCATTTACGTGATGATTGCTTTACTAGCATTGCAGGCTAATAAAGCTGAGAGTTACAACAGAACTCACATTTTTCCACCCAGCATCTTTTCACTAACTCATAAGTCAGATGGCTGAAAAATGCATTTTATGAAGCATGTGAGCTGTGTCATTTTGTACTGCAAGTGAATGACAGTCTCCTTTTTCACACACGTCCCAGAAAATGTTTATCTGGTGGAATACCAAAGCAGATTTTTGAAACGGAGTTCACAATCTTTTCCAAAATTTCTTCTGTGGGAAATGAAATCTCTGCCTCATTGCTGGGCCTGGTAACTCTCTACTGCAAGTGCTCCTCAAGCTAAATGAGTTCTAAATGGTTATGTGACTTCCCCAAATGTTACCAGGGGAAAATCACCTCCTGTAGGTGTGCAGAAGATTTATGGTCACCCAAGCTCCTGTTCTGAGGCTTTTAGTAGATAGATTTTTTATTTTTTTTTTTAATTTAAGAGTATTTACATTATTGAACAGTATAAGATTGAATTAAAATAAGTTCTCATACTAAATTTGTGCTGTTCTTGTGGTTGAGCCCAGTGTCTCTTCTAGCAAATAGGCTAGCAGGCAAGAGTACTTACAGAAAATGCACATTTTAAGTGAATTATACAGAAAGTTCAAAAAAAGTAAGCTTTATAGTAGTGAATATTCAGACTAGGAACCTGGGGCTTAATTGTATTCACATAATCATGGAAGAGAAATAATATCATTAGATACTGTTCAGTTAATTAGAATTCTTATTTAGATATTAGTAATTAAATGGCTTAGACACATGCAATATGTATCCAATCCAAGTTAACTAGCACAATGTAAATTTTTAATTTCATAACTTGCACTTCACTGTGAAGGATCAACAACAAAGAATCACATTTTGAAATTATTTGATAAATAGTACAAAACAATAGGCTAAATTAAACAGCGAGCTGCTCACAGACCATTCAAAAGCAGCAAAAGACAATTTGACACGTTGGCTGAAGAGTTTACCATGTGCTGCATGTAAAGGTGCTAGCATGTTTTGACATGAAGACAGCTTAAAAGCTGTCCTGACCTCTGGGTGGTCTTCCTATGTAGGCTATTGCACAGAAATTGCAGCAGGGACATGTTTTCATAAATATTTAGGAAGTGCACAATCTTTCTCAGATTTGGTATAAATAAACTGCTGAATTTATTAGAGAACATTAGGGCAGTGAGGCTGAGAGCAGTTGCGCAGATCTGAAGCTTGCCTCACTTTTCTCTAAAGCCTGGGATGAAGAGATTCATGAAGACTAGTAGTTTTTAA